AACTCACATTAATTGCTGTTTAGAGACCAAAAATGTTATGACCAGAGCTGCAGGGGAAAACAGTTTGGACTATAACTTCCAGAACCCCTATTCAGCATTCAGGAGTGAGTGATGCCTTTATTAGACAACTAAAAAAACTGAACAAACAGCTAGCTTTCAAAGAAAATCCATCTTCCTCAGGCTAGACCTGAAGATTTAATGGAAAATTCATGACAAATGAATACATGGTGCATATTGCAAAAGTAAGTTGATTCATTGGGTTCAGCATAATGTAAACATGTTAAGAGGAGGAGAAGGGGAGTAGGAGGACAATGGTAATTATTCCCCAGCTATGCCTTTGCAGGCCTCAGCTGAAACATCTTAACATCCAATTAAACAAACAGCAACAACCAAAGGAACGGGAAGAGCACAGATTTCAGGGCCATTTCACCTACGTTTGCAATTAATTTGTGAAAGTTAAAAACTGATTTTTAAAATGCTTTAATTAATAGTTTTTTACCCTTCCCCAAGGAGTTCACATTGCTTGGTTGTGGAAGAAGCATTTCCTAGCAACCCAAATATGTTTTCAACTTTCAAGAAGTGCCTCCTTGTTTCATGTCAGTATATTGACATCTCCTCTTAAAAAAAAAGAACCCAAAACTTACAGGCTCCCATCAGCATCTTTAAGACCCAGAAATGAGCAAGCTGTGTCGAGGAAGCAGTTTTGCCCCAAGAAACTGGCATGAGCTACACACCTTCAGAAATGTCTTCTTTTCACATTTTGTTTTCAAATATATGAAGTTGATGTATTGATGATTTTTTAAAAAAAAATAAAAACAAAAAACAAATAGCCTTAGGACCACCAGCACCACCACTTCCCTTTAAAGCAAAGTTCAGCTGGATAGTCCTGTAGGCTTCAAGGAACTGCAGTTCTCTGTCTGGGACTTGGTTTGGGTTTTCTTTCCCACTCAGGAGGGCAATAATAATATTTGCATTCTATCAAGTCAATCATAGAGACATGGTGGTACTGTGGGCTAAACTGCAGAAGCCTGTGCTGCAGGGGCAGAAGACCAGCAGTCGTAAGATCAAATCCACGTGACGGAGTGAGCTCCTGTCGCTTGTCCCAGCTCCCGCCAACCTAGTGGTTCGAAAGCATACAAATGCAAGTAGATAAATAGGGACCACCTTGGTGGGACGGTAACAGTGTTCCGTGTCTAAGTCGCACTGGCTATGTGACCACGGAAGATTGTCTTCGGACAAAACGCTGGCTCTATGGCTTGGAAACGGGGATGAGCACCGCCCCCTAGAGTCAAACACGACTGGACAAAAATTGTCAAGGGGAACCTTTACCTTTACCTTATCAAGTCAATTCTGATTGATGTTGATCCTTTCTCCAGGCAGAGAATACCCAGAAGTGGTTCATGAGACCCTTCTTGGGTGCCCTGGGACTGTACAGCTTGCCCAAGGCCACACAGGCTGGCCCCTCTAGGAAGCACAGTGGGAAAGCAAACACCCCACCTCTGACTCTGCAGACAGATACCTAGACCAGTGAGCTATCCGGCCCAGTCAGGAGGATGGGGGCAATAAAAACTGTTTGGGGAAGTTGTATGCATTCTTTCGATTCCCATTCATGCGTACCGACATTTTATTAAGTTGCTAAACTCTTTCTGGACTCTACCACTCAATGGAGATCTCTGACTGTGAATCCTTCCATATGGGCTAGAATTCATTTTGGATCAGCTCCCAGCATGACCAGCCTGATGCCTTGAAGAAATGCACAGCAGGCAACAAGTGTAACAGCACACTCCTGCTTGTGTTGCCCAGCAACAGGTACTGAAATTCATGCTGCCTTGTCTAAATTGAATATATAGCCATCATGACAAGCAGCTCTTCAGAACCTTAAGAGTCTCCATGAATTTATCTAATCCCCTTTCAAAGCTGCCCAAGTTTAGGGTTGTCATTGTGTTTTTGGCTGATGGAATTCCATCGTGCTCTGTATGGATCACACACAGACTGGGTTCCCTGCATCTGAAGAAGGGACTCGTCATTCATGGAAGCTCACATTGAAATAGGTTTGCTGTCTTGAAGACATCACAGTGCTCTCATTTCTGTCTGTTTTAGTTTTGTTGTTGCTGCTGCTGCTGAAGGAGTCTACCTTTCTGGAAACCGAATAACTATACCATGTGAAAAAGCATTTCTTTTATATGTCCGGGATGCCCACCTCTTGGCTTCCTTGAATGACCCAAGATGCTGGCATTATTTGATGGAATGGAAACAGGGTCTCTCTTTCCACCTTCTGCACAACATGCATGTGTTATTTTACATTTAAGTCCTATTGCCCTTTAAATTCTCATTCCCCCCCCCCAATGAAAAACAAACCAAGCCTTACAACTTCTCCTTGTAACTTCCACATGAACACGTCAAGAGTAGGGTTTGGAAGGTGGGGAAATTAACATAGTATTTCTCCAATACAGTATGAATATGCATTCTGGCTTGTCTCTTTCTTGTGCTCATTTTTTTCTTCTCTCCTTGTGAGATGAGGGATGAGCTTGGTGCTCTTCACAGCAGTTCTTGTATATGCAAGAATGAGTTTTAAGCAAATTCTTTAAATTAGACATTGGGCATGTCTGGCCCAATGATCTCACTCCCTGTCAGGCCTGCAAGCAAAGCCCTTGATGGTGTGATACAGAGAGATATTTTTCCTAATTAGTACACGGTAGACTGACTTTTTTAAACTTCCTTTTCAGTTTAGTGCAGAAGCAGTTGCTACTGTAGGGTTGGTAGACTACAGTAGATAGCCTTTCGTCATAGATTCTTACATTTTGCCATACTGCCATTTTCCATTTGATAGTAAAAACTTACAATCTTCTAAAGTCTTACTTAAACTCCAGCAATTATATTCTTACCTGCTAAAAGGCTGTCAAAATGTGTGTGTAATCAAAGTTTACGTGAGCTGAAAACACTTTTTTGCTAAAGAGGACAAATTCCAGCTGAATCTTTTAGGAGCTCTTTGTTATGATATGGAAAAATCTTTCATTAGCCCATGTGCTGATCAAAGTTATATTTAGGGAAAGAAAATGTAAAATGAGATGATTCCCCTAAAACTTGAAATGTAGCTTGCTATTGGAGTTGTTCATTACAGTAAACATGTAAAGATCCTGGACAGCAAAAATCAGTTATTTCCTGAACAGTGCAAATATATATACAGTGGTGCCCCGCACAGCGAGGTTAATCCGTTCTGGATTAACCTTCGCTGTGGGAAACATCGCACTACGGAACACCAAAAGGCATTGGAACGCATTAAACAGTGTTTAATGCGTTCCAATGCCATAGAATACTCACCGTAGTGCGATGTTTCCCAGGGGCCGGCAGCCATTTTCGCGCCCTCCCCTCGCACAACGAGGGTGCCAAAATGGCTGCCATCAGCTGTCCGGCGGGTCCAAAATGGCCGCCGGAACAGCCGAAAGGGACCGGGGCGCAGCGTTTTCGCGCCCTTGGTAAGCAAGGGGAGCACGCGAAAACGCTGCCGGAAGCCCCGAAATGGTTGCGTGCAGCCATTTCGGGGCTTCCGCAGCGTTTTTGCGCGCTCCCTTGCTTACCAAGGGCGCGAAAACGCTGCGCCCCGGCCCCTTTCGGCTGTTCCGGCGGCCATTTTCCCGCCGGACAGCTGATCGGCGGGTTGCAAAGCGAAGGTCGGTAAGCGAGCAGCTTACCGACCTTCGCTCTGTGAATCACAGTCTATACGGGCATCGTTTTGTGATCGCATTTGCGATTGCAAAAACGGCCGCGTAGAGCGAATTCATCGCTCTACGAGGCGCCCGTTGTGCGAGGCACCACTGTATCTGTTCTACTATAAAAGTAACTTTTCAAACTCTGATCTGGAAACTCTCTCTCTCTCTCTCTCACACACACACACACACACACACACTTATATACGTATGTGTGTGTGTGTGTTTACAGTATATCTTTAAATGTGTCATGCAGGCTGTGAGTTCCCAGATCAGAGCTTGAAAAGTTACTTTTATAGTAGAATTAGTACTATATTTCCTTTTTTAAAAAACACCTGATTTTCAATTTAAAAAAGTTAAAGTTATGCTTCCAAGCCTTCCCAAAGTAAGTTTTGAAAGGGCATTTAGTTAATGCTTTTCAAGTCATGAGGTTTCCTGGAGCAATGTACAACAATAAAAGGAGAACCATCTTTAAAAGTGGATAAAAAGACAATTTTAAAAAAATCCAAAAGCCAAAGTGCAGAATCCAACTGATAGGTTACACGAGTGAAAGGGCTGGCATAAATCCCAGTGGAAATTTGCTGCCATTTAACAACTTGTCCTTTGTATCCCTCATTACATACCAACCCATGAAATGGGGGTGCAACAACAAGGCAAGCATGGGTTTGTTAGCCAGAGGCAATTTGCTACTTCAGTCTAAGTCACTGCGCATATGCCAGCATGACTAGCCAACAGGATTCTGGCTAACATTCTTTAAAGAGCCAACAAAGAACTTACAGACACCAGTAGCCACATGATACTGTACTGTCTCGGCTGTCCACTGAAAGCTTATCAAGGACGAAATTGCCTGACTTACCGGGTTGCCATGTTGCATCACATGTTGTTATATTGTTACCAACTCATGTTCAATCAAGTCACTTCTCTATTAATTCCATCCTTTAAAAACATCTGGTTTATGAATGTGGGATATTACATCTGTGACCACAGTTCAAAATACCAGGATATGGTCTTGTCTTGCAATGACAGTACATGAAGCAACATGGTAGCACATAAGACATGCATATGATCATAATTTGTTGCTTCCAAGCTGGGTCTGAGCATAAAAATGTCCATGCAAAATGCGTTGTTAAAAGGTGAGAGAATGGTAGTATAATCAGATAACCAGCTTCCCAGAAATGCATAGGTTTTTTTATGTAAAACCCAAACGACCTGGGTCGCTTTTACTTTCACTAATCTCTCAGCTTTTGACCACTGAGACCAAATTTATTTAAGTCCCGATGAACAAGTACTTACTTATAGTTAGTTCCAGCAGGAAAAATGCTGAAAGCTTCACATTGGAAAGTAGCCTCGACAGGAAAGGCCAACAGAATTTGGTGACTCCCAATTTCAGCAGTAAAGATGGTCTATAAGATCCCCTCTTGTGTTTGTTCCTATTCACAGACAGCAACCAAGGGAAAATATCAGAACCTGATTCCTTTTTCGGTCAATAGAACCACTTCTCACTCAAATACAAAGCAACTCCCATGGCTCTCTAGGCATTTACTGCTTAAAATGTGCTCTCTAAATCAGGCATTCTCAACACAATATGAAAAAACTCTAGGCTGAATCGTTCGTTCGTTTAGTCGTGTCCGACTCTTCGTGACCCCATGGACCAGAGCACGCCAGGCCCTCCTAGCTTCCACTGCCTCCCGGAGTTGTGTGAAATTCATGTTGGTTGCTTCGCAGACACTGTCCAGCCATCCCATCCTCGGTCGTCCCCTTCTCCTCTTGCCGTCACACTTTCCTAACATCAAGGTCTTTTCCAGGGAGTCTTCTCTTCTCATGAGATGTCCAAAGTACTGGAGCCTCAGCTTCAGGATCTGTCCTTCCAGTGAGCACTCAGGGTTGATTTCCTTTAGAACTGATAGGTTTGTTCCCCTTGCAGTCCAGGGGATTCTCAAGAGTCTCCTCCAGCACCACAATTCAAATGCATCAATTCTTCGGCGGTCTGCTTTCTTTATGGTCCAGCTCTCACTTCCATACATCACTACAGGAAAAACCATAGCTTTGACTATTCAGACTTTTGTTGGCAATGTGATGTTTCTGCTTTTTAAGATGCTGTCAAGATTTGTCATTGCTTTCTTCCTAAGAAGCAGGCATCTTTTAATTTCGTGGCTGCTGTCTCCATCTGCAGTGATCATGGAGCCCAGGAAAATAAAATCTGTCACTGCCTCCATGTCTTCCCCTTCTATTTCCCAGGAGGTGATGGGACCAGTGGCCATGATCTTAGTTTTTTTGATGTTGAGTTTCAGACCGTTTTTTGCACTCTCCTCTTTCACTCTCATTACAAGGTTCTTTAATTCCTCCTCACTTTCTGCCATCAAGGCTGAATCAGGATTGCATAAGTTGACTAATGGACTTTATAAAGTGGTATGCAAAGAATGGTTGCCAGTCTGTGCCTCCCTTTGAATGTTCCAGAGTCCCCCAGGGGGCCATATGACCCCTGTTGAGAATGGCTAACAATAAACTGGGAGGAGACTTTGGAATTATTTATTTATTTAATTTATATGCTGCCCACATTACCCAAAGGTCTCTGGGTGGCTTACAACATTTAAAATACAATAAAAATTGAGAACAATTAAAATACAATTAAAATATATATAAAAATTGCCATCGGACCCACAGCTAATATTATTTCAATTAAAAGCCTTCTGGAACAGGAAGGTTTTGACCTGGCGCCGAAATGTCATCAGTGTCGGCGCCAGACAAATCTCAGTCGGGCGGGCATTCCATAGTGTGGGGGCAGCTGCCGAAAAGGCCCTTTGTCTACAAGCCATCCCTCTTACCTCCTTGAGGGACGGCTCTTTCAAAAGGGCCCCCTGGCTAGATCTTAACTGCCGGGTAGGTTCATATGGAAGGAGGCGGTCCTTCAGGTATCCAGGGCCCAAGCCATTTAGGGCTTTATATGTCAAAACAAGCACTTTGAATTGGGCCCGGGCAGCAACTGGTAGCCAATGTAACTTATACAGAATCAGCTTGATATGTTCCTTGGCGGCCACACTAATCACCAGCCGCACAGCTCGATTCTGGACCAGTTGCAGTTGTCGGACCATCTTCAAAGGCAGCCCCACATAGAGCACATTGCAGTAATCTATGCGGGATGTTACCAGTGCGTGTGTAACTGTCA